GTGCCGCTTCGGTGATCGGAGAGATACCCGTTGGGGCTTTGACAAGGGAGGCCGCCATCTTCTCTTCTGCCATGTCTGCCAACCCAAGCCGTGGCTGTGCCATTACCTGTGCACTTTCCGGCACGAACGTGAGTATCTGAGGGGCAGCTGCAGACCTGTGTGGTGCCAGGGCCGTTTCTCCCCTCTCTGCGATATCCCTTATCGATATCGCTGTGACGTACGCGGCTCTTCGTGTCCTGCTGCACGTGAAGGCCTGAATTGTCTCATGTAGTTGTCCCATTTGCGTTCTCTTTGCAGTAAAATCATCAGTGCTGCTCCATTTTCTTTTTGCTTCTAGATGAAGCTCCTGATTCTCGCTGTGTTTGCCCTGTTCTACGTGGCCCACTGTGAGGAAGGGGCCAGGCTCCTGGCCTTCAAATCGCTATTAAACGGATACGCTGTGGGGGACTGGACTCTGTGGGACATCATCTGCACCGCTGGCTCCAGGTAACCTTGTCTCGTACTCACCAGGAGCAAATCTTCGCGTGTGTGTTTGTCTGCAGGGTTTGAGACTGTTCCCAGGCTCCGTGCTGCGCTGTTGTCTTTGCTCCCCCTGAGTCTGAGCTCACCACTGGTGCTTGAAGGTCCGACCCTGCGATTTGCCTTTTCCTTCCCATTCCTTTGTCCCTGCTTTCACCATTTCCTGCTTTCGCCCCAGGGCTGCTCTAGCTGCATGGTGCAGTTCCTCATGTTTCATCTTGTGATGTTCCCCTCCCTGTGCACACAGATGCTCTTTCTTGGCTTTGTGAGCTTTTCTGACATCCAGTTTCCTGACTTTTTCAGCTTCTGTCGGCTTTGCCTTCCTCTTTCTGCAGATTCCTCATAATACACCTTGAATTTCCTCCCTGTCTCGGTGCCTTTTTATGTTTCAAACGTCAGTTCTTCCAGCTGTTAATTGTCAGTACGGAACTGCTGTCCCTCTCTGGCTCAGTCCCTCAGTGAGTAAAACACCAAATCTGAGACTCTCCTCCTATCCTTTTCTGTGTTGACTTTATTGCTGCCTTAAATACGGAGCTGTCGGATCATTCTTTACCCTCGGAGGATTTTGGCGTTGTCTGCGGGATGTTCAATGTCAAATGGCTCCAGATTGCTCAGTATCTTCTCGTGTTTTGAAATTTCTCTCCTCCCAGCGCTCGTTCTTACCCCTAAACCTCCTGCAGCTCTGCTGTCCTCCGTTGTCGGCACTGCGATTGCAGCCCGCCGGCCCCTGGGCAGGGTGCTGTGGGGAAGGAGGGGCGGCTGGATCTGCCTCGGGTGGGTTTGGGTGCCTGTAACTGCCGAGGACCGGGATCTCTTGGCGGGGCTGACTGTGCCGCCTGGTTTGATTCTCTTTACCCATCTCCTTACTTCCCTTCCTTTGAAACGCAACTATTTTCCGTAAGTTTCAGATCTCGGAGCGAGTAACGTCTCCCACACTGTGATTCCGCGGCCTCTTGAAGCCGGTTACTTCAACTTCACCTCTGCTGCCATCACGTACCTGGCACGGGAGGGCGGACAGGCGATGGTGAGTGGTTTGATTCGACTGTTCATGCAATTGTAGCCCCTGTGGGACATCAGATCTGCCTGACTTTAAGCTTGTTAGGAGATGATGCGTGCCCCTGTGCTCTCACACTCTACGTGCTCTGTTGCAGGAAGGAAAAGTGGCAAATACCCTCTTCCTCCTCCTCTTTTTTAGGTTGGTTTCGTGAGTGCTCCTGGGCGGGGATGAATCCTGGCTCAGCACGAGTTTGACAGGAGGTTCTCGCCTCGCTTTGTGAGTATCTTTCAATTAATAATTGAAATGATGCTGCAGCGATCGCGCAACTCGGCACGGTGCCCGTTTGTGGTGCATTGGGCTTGCGCTACAGTCGCCTGAAAAACTCCAAACGTGGGTTGTAGTTAACCTGTGTTGGTTATCCAGGAGAAAATATCACAGAAAGAGCAGTTTCCATCCCAGCTACCTCTGTGAAGGAGCTGGCGCTGTGTGATTTGGGCCGGACGCTTTGCGGGTAGAAGATCTGAGGGTTATAACTCAGCTGTGTGTGATTCATTCTGAATTCTTTCTAACAATTTCTCCTTCCAGCTGGACCGGGCAGCTTTTGGCATGATGACCCTGCCCTCCATCGAGATGCTGCTGCTGTGGGACTTGAGCAAGAGAAAATACGACACCCCCGAGAGCAAAAAGAAGCGAGCAAAGCCAAATGCCACCAGCACCCCAGAGCTCGGGAGAGAGCAAACATCAACCCGCCCAGACCTGCGGGTGCGTTTGGATCAGCAACAGCCTACGACAGCACTGCCTGGGCTACGCTTCGGCCCGTCACCTCGCTGGTGGCGGTGTCTTGCCTTCTCCCTTAAAAAAAAGAAGAAAAACACTGAAAAGCCCACAGCCGGACCCCCTCGTCTGCATACTCAGTGCAGAGCATCAGAACAACTTGCTCTGTCGCAGATAAGCACCGGCGCAGCTCACACGCGACCGCGTTAACGCCCAGCCGAGCTTATTTGTGGGGGTGCAGCTCTGCGGCGTTTCTGGCGTCTGCGCTGCCTCCCCGACTCCGTCCGGCCCAGTGGACCTCTGCCTGCTGCCGTCTTCTCGAACCTTGGAAATCCTGGGGGGGCCCCTCTCCTCCAGGTGCTGCCCACCTTGCCAAAACAGCTGGGGGAAGGAGCTCTACCTCGTGCTGGTAACAAACCTTTCGACAGAGGCTCGTTAGAGCTCCTTCTTTGCTCGGTGGGGCACGGGAAGCCCCATTTTATTTCAGTGAGCAGTTAATTGCTGTGTCTCTGATTGTTTGGGGTTGTTTGTTTAGTGTTTTTTGGTTTTTTTTTTTTTTTTTTTTGTGGTTGCTCTGTTGAGGTGTGTTGAGGAACTGAAGGCTTTGGAATAAACACCACGAAAAGAAGTCTGCTTTTCTTTTACCAGGAGGTCCTGGAGGCACCTGGCTGCTTCCAAAAGTAGCTAAAGGGCATACAGTCAGGAAAAGAAATCAGTACGTTACTCCATCAGGTAAATAAGTGGAAGAATGAGAGCAGAGGGAACACGTGGGGAGCAGAAATCGCTTTGCCAGGTTCACTCCTCTGTTTTCCGAGGGGCTGGTACCTCGCACCGGCTTTCCTGACGGCCCCAAGCACTCGTATAAGGTGTCTCTTCGCCGCCATAAATAAATCATGCTGTGGCTGCCTGCCGGGCATGGGTTTGTGGTTTTTCTCTGCGGGAGGTAGCGGCGCAGCGATAACTTGGCTCAGGGGACCCACGCGTGGTGAGAAGTGGTTGATTTCTGCCCCGAGATTTGAGCGAGGGCTCCGTGGTGGCCGCTGGCTCCAGCCGGGCTCCCGTGGCACGGTACAGCCCCGTCTGGGCACGCATTGGACCCCGCTCACCAGCACGGCGGTGGCAGCCGAGAATTTCGTGTTGGTGGATAGAAATCTCGGGCCGTGCCGGAGCGAACACTGCGTCTTTGTTACCAGAACAATGTTTCCAAGCCGGGATTCCTCACCCCCTCGCTCCAACCTTCGCTGCCACCGGTTGCACCCTTTGTTTCGCCTGGCGAATGTCGCAACCGGCAGGATTAGGGAGACGGTCGCTGTTTGATGCTCGAGGAACTCTCTGAAGGGTGCAGAGGCTTTGTGCTAACAGGTCTGACTGGCGCGGTCCGCTCAGATGTGCCCGGCAGCAGAGATTTCCTCGCCGGGCTGAGAAGTAAGGCTGCTCCGGCTGGAAAACGGTTCCTGCCTGTTTTTCGCGCCGGCTGTGCCCTCGGGATCTGCCGACAGAAAAGCGTGAAGGTAACGAACGTCTTTTGCTGGCAGCACTCTGGTTTGGGCTTTTGAGGGCCGGCTGGGGAGGTTTTGATGGGAGACCGGTGTAAAAAGGAGTTGTCTGTGGTGTATCTTTAATTGTAGCGCTCTTCTTTGAGCCTCGAAGCGTGCTAGAAACGCGGGTTGCGGACGTGTCCGATACTGGTGCGTTGTGGTAGAGCTGAGCTGGAGCTGTGAAACAGCCCCGTGGCATTAGCCAGGACGAGAGCCCTGAGGATGCCCGTGCCTGCTCCTCCTGTGCCCTGGCACCCTGGTGAAGAGGGGCCGGTTCCAGAAAACCCTTGGAAATATTTATAGCATTTTGCATTTTGGTGTCTCGGGTCCTTCTTGCCTGCAGAGAGCCTGAGGTGCTCAAAAACCAGGAGCCAAAATGGCTGCTGAGCTCCCGTGCAGCCCCAAAACCAGTGCTTGAGCTGGGGAAGGGCTTGTTCCCTGATCCCGAGCCCGGGATAGCAGTCCAATTAAAATCCTGATGGCTTCAGGAAAAAAAAAAACAACTTTGGAGCTTGTTCTGCAGCCTGGCGGCTGCGGTTTCTCTCCCGGCAGGGCAGGGCACGAGCGAGCTGTGCCAGCTCCGGACCTGGGTGCCGCAGGTCGGCGTCACCTCCTGGCACCGCTCGCCCGAAAGCTGCGCAAAGGTCCCCGGTGCCGCCCGTTTATTTAAAACAAACACGTTCCTCACGAGCTAAATCTTTAGCCTGAGGAATATCCAGCGGAGAGACGGTGCCACGGGGCAAGCTGGCTCCGGGGTGGGGGACCGAGGACGTGCCTGCGGAGGCGCAGCCCGGCCCATGCGCGGAGAGAGGGCATTTATTTATTTCCTTTTTTTTTTTTTTCCTCGGTTTGCTTTTTTTTC